ACGGGAAAAGAGAACATGACTTCTGCACTCTCAGCTTCTGTCCCTAGAGGAGCCTGTCCCCCATCTCAGCGCCTCCGCCCACCCCTGGCAGTCTGTCCATCCTCCAGAAACAGGTGCAGTAGTGGGCAGAGTGTGGGCGCCCCCTGACCCCCGGCCTCCTCCTTGGGGGCTGCTGGTGGACGGCTCAGCCGGCTGAACTGATGAGAAGAAGGCCCGCTTCTCATTTAAAAACATAAAGGAGGAAACATAGAAGAAGAAATTCATGTCCTTAAAAAAGAGCACACACGACTGATTCATTCATCTCTTACCAAAATTCTGTGTGGGGTACCGGTGGAGAATCCTGGGGAGGGAATGGGCAGGAGGAGTCCTCTCCGCTTGTTAGCATCGGCCGTGGGCGTCCGTGGAGAGAGGCGTGGGCATGGGCCAGGCGGACGGAAGGAAGGAAACGCCTGGCTTCTCCATCACTGAACAAGAGCGTTGGCAGGGGCTTGGCAGGTCCCTCCCCGCTCACTTGGCAGAGGAGGAAAAGACTCAGAGAGGAGGGTGATTTTCCTGTGGCTACACAGCAAGTCGACAACGTCAGAGTTTGAACCCTTGCCTCTCAGGGACTCAGATTTCTCATCCCCTCAAGTGGACTTCAACTTTTGCCTGCCGGCGACCCGAGGGTAGACTGAGGCCAGAAGCACGTGTTGGTGTGAAGGTGAAGGGTAACAGAGGCCGTGGAATCTCTGCTGAGGAGCCCAGGGCAGACCGCCAGCCAGTCCAGGAAGCCATGCTGGGCTCCCATGCTGGTCCTGGTTCCAGAACCCCCGGCAGGCTGGCCCTGGCCCTTTCTCTCTCTCAAGTGCCCATTCCACCATCCACACGAGGGCTGGGTTTGGTGGCTCTGGGGTCTCATCCAGTGTCAGCAGGTGGATGGACATCACCACGTGTCGGACTTGAAAGTGAGACCCTCCTGCTAACACACACATCCTGCCCGTGGCGGTGGGCAGGCCCTGGTGGTCGGAGTTGGTGCCTCGCAGAGTCTCAAATTCCACAGCACCGCAAACACTCATCACCGGGCTCAGGTCTGGGGGCCATCGGTGCCAGACAAGCCCTCTGCTCCTCCAGTGTGGCCTGACCTCCTATCGCCAAGCACCGAGCTATCCTCAGGAAAGCCCGTTCTCAGCCAAGTTTATAGCACATCCCCACCTACTGGTCTCAGACATTACATGGCTGTGTGGTGACGAAGGGCTCCGAGTGGCCAGAAAGAAGAGAGGGTGTGTGTGTGTGTGTGTGTGTGTGTGTGTGTGTGTGTGCTGTGCTGGGGCGGGGCGGGGCGGGGCAAGCATCATCCCTCACTCCAGCCCCAGGAGAGCTGTCCGTGGCCCGGTGCTGATCCTGTCCTCCTGCCTCTCTCAGGGACCTAGAGCTTGAGTAATGAGGGGGGTGGGAAAGCGTGGACACGACCCAGGGGAGAAACTCGAGGTTGCCAGGCTGGTGACCACAGGGGTGAGGGCACACGCATTTGATATCATGCATCAGAGCAGCACGGGCCGCCACATCTGTATCCCGTGGAGCTGTGTTATAACACGTCACCCTGGACACAGGTATCTCGTGTGTGCCAGGCAAGGGCTGTGCCACAGTCCTGCCCCATCCTGTCCTGTTGCTCTTGTCCTGGTGTCTCTGCCCGTCCCCTCCCCACCTCTCTGCTGCCCCATGCCCCAGAGCTCCCTTTTCAATTGACACTGGGAGGGCCCCCCATATAAAGTGGTCTTCCCACCCCATTCCTTTCTTCCCAGCACCTACTATGTGTCAAACACTGGAGAGCGGGGCAAAGACCGGGAGAACATGGCTCCTCTCCTAAATGCACGTGTGTGAGGGTCACATATGAATATGGCCACACCCCCTTCACACGCAGGCGCTGCAGCCCGTGAGGAGGGCGCCTCGGCAGCCAGGAGGGCCAAGGCAGCACTGGAAAGAGACCCGTTGCTTCTGTTGGAGGCATGGGAGCTGCTGGTGAGAAGCTAAGGAGTAATCTAGGCAGACTCCCTGGAGGAGATGATGTTTGAGTTGGGCTTTGAAAGCCAGGTAAGAATTTCTGGAGGCAAGATATTCCACATTGGAGGGGCTGGCAGGTGCAAAAGCAGACAGACAGGCAGGTGAGAAGAGCATTCTCTCATAAGATTCTTGGGGGCTGGAGAGAGGGCAGCACCCCAGAAGTGACGAGGTAGCTTGATACAAAATCATAAAGGGCCTTGGATGCAGGGAGGTCAGGAGCAAGGAGTGTACCTCTGACCCTATAGGCAGTGGGGAGCCAGGGAAGGTTACTGAATAGGGGGGCTGGCATAATCAACTCTCCAGCAGATTCGACCACCACCTGCCCCCCAAACTCCTATTCAAACGAAAAGCGGAGCAGAAAGCCTCCTCCAAGACCAGGTGCGGGAAGCTGCTTCCTCAGCTTCTCTCTGCCAGAAGCCTTGAGACTGGGCGCAGGGGCTATGACCCCGCAGGCAGGCAGGGCCGGGGCCTGGCCGGCAGAGGGGCTCTGGGTGTGCCCGGCAGCACTGGCACAAAGTGAGAAGGGGAGGGACGGACCACAGGCCACACTGCTGGAGGAACACGAGGGAGGCAGGCCAAGGTCACCCTGCCCCTTGGCACCAGAGTTAGACACAAATCCAGGCTATTTGGCTCCCAGTCTGGCTATGTGGTCAGAACCCTTTAGCCTTAATAGCCTGCTAGACACACACACACACACACACACACACCCAGCAACTGATCCCACACCCCAGCATCTTGGAAGAGCCCAGGACTCCCAACCAAGAGTGAGCTTGAATTGAGAGTGAATCCACGTACCCTCTTCCTGGATGGAGGGATGGTTAGGGTGTGGGGGGGTGTTAGGCAGCGCTGAAAGAGAAAGGCCCAGGGAAAATGGGGTTTGGGGAGGGAGGAACTTAGTGATTGTGGCTGTATTTATCTGCAGGGGGTCCCTTAAGAATCTGCTGACCCTTCCTTGAGTAAGGGGAGACTGAGGCATGGGACAGGAGCTCGGGGACGGGGCTTGGAGAAGGAGCCAGCAGGGCACCCCACCCTGTCTCTTCACATAGCTTCTGACTGGTCATCAGCCAACGTGGGCCGTGCACACACCAGGCACTGGCTGCGTGGAAGGACAGAGAAGGGTCAGCCTGAGGTTCCACCACCGCCACTGCAGGACCAGCAGGGCACGGAGGAGACTGGCATCTAAGGAGGGAACGAGGCAGGTCGCTGATGGTCCCAGGAGAGGCAGTGCCAGGACAGTGAGACCTCCTGGGCCGGGTCTTAGGAAGCAAGGCAAGACTCTGGCCGGTGAGGGAGGGGAAAGGCTCTTTAACAGAGGGCCAAGGACTCTGGAAGGTAGGCAGTGGGAACCTTGGAAGAGCACTTGAGCTCCCTGGAGGTGGGGCCTTGGCAAGCTCTGGGAAGGACTCTGGTAGTCAGAGGCAGATGTGGGGCAGAACCGCGCCTAGACCAGGGCCTGAGCTCAGTTCCCTCCTGCCCGGCGCCCCAAACTCCCGCAGACACGGGGCACCCCTCCCCAACCCCTCCCCACCCTAGTCTTGCACATGGAGCTGAGATGTCAGGTTCCCAGCTGCACAAACACGTTGCCCCCTCCTCTCCAACTGCTGTCCTGCCCAATCTCCTGATAAAGAACCGAGGTTGGCTAGGGCTGGTGAACTGAACGCAAAACAGCTCCCACAGGAAAGAAGCAATCCACCCACAGAGGGAGGCCAGCCTGTTCCCCATCCCCTCGGGGTGTCAGGACCCTAGATTCCCAAAGCCCCTCCTTCCCTTAAGCTCTCAACCTTGAGAACGCGCCTCAGTCTGGCAAGAGGCTGCTGGTTAGAGAGCTTGGGCAGGCTCCTAGGGACAGGGCAGATGTGGGCCACGGCGGAGCAGACACCACGAGGTCTTCCGCCACCGCGGAGAGCCCACTGCCCCCTCCAATGAAGCCTCTTTCCAGCCCGTCTAGGTTCAGCCCTCAGCAGGGACGAGGAAACCCCCACCCCACTCCCTGCCGGTTAGGAAAACGTGTCCCGGGTTTGTTGGTTTCTTGTTGGAAAGAAGAGGGCCTCTCTTCGCCATTCTCCTCGCTCCCCAGCTCTCTCCCTCCCCCTTCGGTCTGCGCCCCTCGCCTCCTGGAGCGCTTCCAGCTTGCGGAAGGCCCGCTGCAGCCTCCTCCCGTCGGATCTGAGTTCTCATTCCTGGGGGTTTGTTTAGGGACCCTACGTCCCCCTACACGTATCCCTGCTGTCCCGCTGCCAAAGCGCGCCAACTCGGCCCCTCCCTCTCCCACACCCCTTACCGCGGAGCCCGGGGCAAGCCTGGGGAGCAGACGCAACAGATTGCAGAAAGCGACAGCGTGGAGCCCGCTCGCTCCGCGCGCCGCCCCGGCCTGCGCCGGTTTTCTGCACCCCCCGCCCCCCGGGCTCGGCTAAGCCAGCCATTTAGATGCAGCTCACAGGACGGCGAGCGGGCGAGCCGCCGCGGCTCCCGGGCCCCTGCCAGTCCACTTCCTTCCTCCGGGACCGCCGCAGGAAGCGAGGCGGCGGGCGGCGCGGCCCCGCACCAGCCTGAGAGCCACGGGCGAGGGAGGATGGGGTCCCCGAGGACCCCGTCAGCCCCCAGCCCCGAGGGCCGCGGGGGAGGGAGTAACAGGAGGGGCGGCCCAGGCACGATCTATAGATCCTCGGATCCCTATAGATTTCCGTGGGTGGACACGCCCCCGGACACTCGGGTTTGGACCCTCTTACTAACCAGGAGAAAATTGGAGTGATCCCGCAACCCCCCTTTTCCTGGGCCGGGTTCGGTCCCCAGGGCGGGGCTCGAACCCTCCGCTCCCGCCAAAGCCCTTGGGGGCTGGAGGAAACTCGTAGCCTGCTAGTCCGGGGATGGGGGTTCACCTTTCACCAGTCAGTCTCCTCTGTGCCCCTCCAGGGGCGACCGCCGCATCTTCACTCCCGAGTCCGCGCCGCGACACTTACCGTGGGCGAGCAGCGCTGAAAGGCAGAGCAGGGCGGCGCCGCCGCGGCCCGACATCCCTGGGGCCATGGCCAAGGAGGGAGCGGGTGGTGGCCGAGGGGGCGACAGTGGACGACGACTCCGCTCCCAGTCTGGGCTTGGTCACATCCAACTCAGGATGGCCGCGGTGCCCCGCTGTCTCTGCTGAAGCTCCGGGGGCCGAGCAGTGCAATTTGGGGACAGTTTGAGGGGAGGGGGCGTCCCAGGCGCCGCCGGCTACACCCTGGGAGCCGGTGGGGGCGCAGCTGGCGGCGGGAGGAGCCTTCACCTCCCCGGCTGGTGCCCCCTGCAGGATCTGTGCGGCCAGGGGGGAGCTGCACGTGCGGTCCCCAGGCCGGTGGCCACCGGCGTCTCCGGGGCTACCTAGAGCCAAGTGCCGGGTCCCCCAGCCCCGCGGCCCAGTTCGAATCCGAACTCGCTCGAGGGTGCAGATTTCCAACACAAGCCCCAGTTTCTTCGGTTTCGGTAGTGAGCCCACATGGATAGCCCGGCTTGCTTCCTCCAAGCACCCTGCAGCAGCTCCGGCATAAAAACCCCCAGGTTAGGTGCAAATGAATGATTTCTTTCGCAAAGAAAAGAGAAAATCCGGGCAACTTTAATCCATCTGGAGAAGGAAAAGTTTCCGTGCAGTGCTGAGGCCGGCGATGCTGGTCGCCACCACCCCACGCGACGCGGGGACCGAATGCCCGAGGCGGGCGGCCAGCGGCTTGTCCCCTCGCAGAGCTCCAGGCTGGGTTCCAGCGCGCGCTCTCCAGTCTCCACCGGGCCGGAGCTGCACACAGGCTGGCTCAGCGCCGGCGGCCCCGGCCTCGGCTTCGCGGCTGGGGCGAGGGTGGCGCGGCCAGAAAGGGCTGCCCCATTAAGATGGGGCTGGGAGAAAAGAGGGAGATGTAATGCTGGCCAGTGGCCTGACCCGAGCCCTGCCTGCCTGGGGCGGTGACTCCAGCCTCCTGGTCGTAAACGTAGTAGGGTGGAGAGGGGCTCGGTCAGCCCCACCGCAGCTCCCGGCCGCCCCCCTCTTCTCCCAGGTCTCGCTGTCTCAGCAAAGGGGCGCACTTGTCAGCCTTGCTCCTCGCCTTCCCCGGGGAGACCTGCACAAACCTTGAACTTTTCCGGGTTTCAGAATCTCCGACGTCTCTTTCTCCCTGCAACCCCCGCCCTGTCCCCGGACGCCCGATCGCCCGCTGTCTCTGTGTAGCTGGGCATCGGCGCTCTCTCTCCCGGAGTCAGTTGGGGCGAGCGTAGCGCAGCGCCAGCCGGAGCTGCAAGCGGCGAGACCTGGGCGCCACGCCAGGGGCCGGGGCACCCGGCGCCCGCGCAGCCCGCGGCCAAGGAGGCGGCAGCTGGTATCTACGGGGCCGAGCCGAGAGGAGGTGCCAGCAGGGAGGCCGGCTCCCCATGGACGTGTGTGCGGGGAGAAGAATCAAGGAGCAGAAAGGAAGAGGAGGTGGGGGGAGCCACAGTTGCACGAAGCCGCCGCCGCCGCCTCGGCGCGAGCGCCGGCTGCTCCGCCGTAAATGACTCGAGAGAGACACACACTCGCGCTCGCCCGCCCTCCTCCCCCGTCCGGGATTCAAAGCCCACCCGGACAGAAGCGGGCGCCAAGCCCGGCGCGCTCGCCTCCCCCCTCCTCCCAGATTCCCTGTGGTCACGTGGCCCCGGAGCGCGCGGCCCACCACTCACGCACCACAGAGACCACCCCCCCCTCCGCCGGTTCCCCCTCCCCTGTCCACGTGTCCATTCCGCATTCCCAGCCTGGGGGCGCGCGCGGCTCCTTAATGAGACTCCAGGAAGGGCCGGCCTCGCGATTCCGCTCGCCCCTGTTTTATGCTTTATTTTTTTTCTCCCCAGTGCAGGCTAGCGCTGGGGCCCGAGTGGGGCTGATTGCTGCGGCTGCATTTCCCTCGGGTAGGAGCCACTGAAGCCACCGATGTCCCCCTTTAAAGGATGCACGCTCCCAGCCGGGTGCCGGAGGTGTTTTACAGCCGCTCTGCCAGAGGCGCGGGTAGGGGGCACCCCACCCCCGACCCCCAGAGTCTGTGTGAGGCTTTTGGGGGGCACTGGGGAGAATCGGCCGAGCGGCCGCGCCCAGTCCCTCTCGGGCCGCGCCGGAGCTCGCTGGTTCAGCATGGTTCCGGGATGGAGCAGCTAGGAGAAAACTCCTCCGCTGGGGAAGGGGGCGGGCAGAAAGGAGGGGACGCGCCTTCCTACAGGTTGTTTTGCAAGCCCTTACAGGGACATGATGTGGGGGTGGGGAACTGCCCCTCCGGTACACTCACCCAGGCACCTGCTGACGAGGGGGAGGGGCGGTGGGGCGTCGATCTTTCCCACCGCAGGCCCGTTCCATTAGAGCGCAACCCAGATCAGACCCGACAAGTCAACTGTCAAAACGTCAGCCAGGGAGCGGATCAATGGCAATGATTTTATAGCATCGTTGGGGATCAACCGCCAACCTCCAGTTGCCGGGCCTCATCCCCACTCTCCTGTGGAGAGACATGGTCTTCATTCCTATGGACATACCCCCTCTGGGGTGCGGGGAGGGCTGAGGGTCTTGTGGATCGCCACTCACTCAGACAAGGTGGGGCCAAGGAGGTCAGAGCAAGGCCAGTTGGGGTGCTCAGTCTCTGCCCCACGTCTGCCTGACTGGGCCCTACTTCTTGACCCTGGGAGTTTTCTGTTCATCCAGGAAAGTGACATTTTCTTTTTGGAAAACGGGCTTGGGCAGTTCCTGGAAACCTCCCTCCTCCCTGTCTTGGGCTGTTGCTACCTCTGCCAGGCCTGGGCCCTGCAGAGGGATGAGAGGTTTTCTCCCCTCCCCCATGTCACATCTGTGCGGAGCTCCGAGGTGCAGCGTGGAGAGGGCTGGCCTGCTCTTAGAGGCCCTGGGGATAGAAGGTGCTGGAGTCGTCAAGGAAGATGATTCTCATTAGGCTCCTAATGTCTGATGGCAATTAACGTCACCCTTGGGCTTATTGAGCATCCCAGTGAGATGCGGGCTAGGGCTGCCTGTGGGAGGAGCCACCTCCTGAGACAGGAGGGCCCCTGGGAGAGGAGGAAGAAAGAAGGCAGGCCTCCCAGTCCCTGTCCATCCCCCACCCCAATGGAGGGGGCACAGGGCCTGTCAAGAGTAAGTCCAGGGGTTACGAGAGGAGAGGCAGAAGCTGCTTTCCTGAGCGGAGGACCCCCCTGCCCCATCGAGGGAGACCAAGGTCCCCTTCTCCACTGATGCTGGCAGCTGACAGGTCAGCAATTTCAGCCCACTCTCAAGGGCCTTTCTGGAAACAGCATGGTGTTCGGGCTCCTCTTTCTACCTGCCCCACCCCCACCCTGCCCCCTAGCTCTTTACCCGTCCAGGCTTCCCTCCCTCCATTCTCTCCCCGCCCCTTTCACAACAACATCACAACAACATGGCGTCTCGCACATCGCAGGCACAATGAGGAGCAAGACAGACCCAGCCTGTCCTCAGGGAACTTACCTGCCGTCAGGGAGGACATAGGCTAAGCTGATAACTGATTACAGTTGTGATAAGTTAAGTGGCATTATGCATTTTTGCTCATCTTACGGAGGAGGCTGAGGCCTGGGGTCAGGACAGTTTTTGGGTGGTGGTGGCAGGGGGCGGGTGTGGGCGCAGCCTGATGTCTTTAGAGAATCCTGATTTCAGCACCAGGTTCTTCCGGTCCCTCCTATGTGGATCGATGCCTCATGGGCCCAGAGCCTCCTGCCAGGTCAGTGTGTCTGAGCTTCCTCCCATCCCCCAAATGGCAGACCTCTCCCCCTGCCCCAGGGAAGTGACTGTTCTGCCGATTACTCCCCCTTTAATTCGCACCGTGCCTGCGAATTAAAGGCTCTGGTTCCTCCAACTCCAGTGCCCATGGACTTGTTACTCTGGGCAGTGCCAGTTCTAAGGCTCAGGGAGAAAGAAGTTGGCATGAGGGAGACATAGCCACTTGTCCCACGATTCCAGTCTCACAGGTCGTTGGCTTAGAAAGGGGCTCACACTTTACCTGGCCTTTTGCTGCCACGCCCATGGACGGCTGCGTGTGCACCTGTGAGGCCTGGTCATCAATCCCAGCCGGCAATGCCCGCTCCAACCTGGGTAGGGGGTCAGAGGACCAATCCCCTGGAGCGGGGTGGGGGGGGGACAGGCTAGAAACAGGACCTGGCATATTGTATATGTGTATTCTTGTGCCCCAAACGAGCACAGGAATTCAGGCAGGTGGTGGCACCTCCTTTCTGTCGTTTCCCCTTTGTTCAGGGCCAGGAGTCTTTCTTGATAGAACTGGCAATGTAGCGGCAATGGTTGGGGTGCCCTTGACCCTCAGCTCCTGGGTGGGGCCAGGAACAGCTCAAGGCTCCAGCCAGCCAGCTGGGCAGGAAGCGGGGAGGCCCTCGTGCCTCTGTGGATGCCCATCAAGGACCCATTCAGAAACTGACACCCACTTCCTCTTCTGCCTAACTTGCTCCAATGAGGGACCTGGTGATATCTGTCCTGCCAGCATGCCCCTGGTTTTCGGGATGCCTGCCAACAGGAGAAGACAGGCCAGACCAATGTGGGGCTTTACCAAGGGAAGCTAACAATTTGTGGGGGCTCTTGGGACCCCCCTGGAATTATAGTCTGGCTCAGCTCAAGAGGGGCTCAGAGATTTCCTACGCTAGTCCTCTCATTTTATAGCTGCAAAAATGGAGGCCTGTTGATTTAGTCATTTTATTAAATACTTTGATTTTTTAATTGAATTTATTGAGGTGGCATTGGTTAATAAAATTATATCGGTTTCAGGGATGCAATTCTATATTTCATCTGTGTATTGTACTGCGTGTTCACCACCACCATCGTTTATCACCCCTTTACTCTCTCTGACATCCCCTCCACCCCACCCCCTGGTGTCACCATAATCACCATACTGATGTCTGTGAGGGTTTTTCCTTAATCCCTTCACCTTTTTCACCCAGTCTCCCGCCTCCCTCCCTTCGAACAGCTGTGAGTCTCTTCTCTGTATCTATGAATCTGTTTCTGTTTTGTTTGTTAGTTTATTTTGTTCACTAGATTCCATATTACAAGTGAAATCATATGGCATTTGTCTTCCTCTAACTGGTTTATTTCACTTAGCATGATGCTCTCCAGGTCTGTCCATGCTGTTGCAGAGGGTAGAGTTTCCTTTGTTTTTAATGGCGGAATAGTGTCCCTTTGTGTAAATGTACCATAGCTTTTTTCCTTAAATATATTTTATTGACCGTGCTATTACAGTTGTCCCATTTCTCCCCCTTCACTCCCCTCTGCCCTGCACACTCCCTCCCACCCACATTCCCCTCCTTTAGTTCATGTCCATGGGTCGTACATGTAAGTTCTTTGGCTTCTACATTTCCCATACTATTCTTGCCCTCCCCCTGTGTATTTTGTACCTACCGTCTATGCTACTTACTCTCTGTACCTTTTCCCCCTCTCTCCCCTTCCCACTCCCTGTTGCTAACTCTCCATGTGATCTCCATTTCTGTGGTTCTGTTCCTGTCCTAGTTGTTTGCTTAGTTTGCTTTTGGTTTTGTGTAGGTGTGGTTGTTAATAACTGTGAGTTTGTTGTCATTTTACTGCTTATATTTTTATCTTCTTTTTCTTAGATAAATCCCTTTAACATTTAATATAATAAGGGCTTGGTGATGATGAACTCCTTTAACTTGACCTTATCTGAGAAGCACTTTATCTGCCCTTCCATTCTAAATGAAAGCTTTGCTGGATAGAGCAATTTTGGATATAGGTCCTCACCTTCCATGACTTGGAATGCTTCTTTCTAGCTCCTTCTTGCCTGTAAGGTCTCTTTTGAGAAATCAGCTGACAGTCTCATGGGAACTCCTTTGTAGGTGACAGTCTCCTTTTGTCTTGCTGCTTCTAGGATTCTCTCCTTCATTTTAATCTTGGGTAATGTCATGATGATGTGCCTTGGTGTGTTCCTCTTTGGGTCCAACTTCTTTGGGACTCTCTGAGCTTCTTGGACTTACCGGAAATCTATTCCATTTGCCAGATTGGGGAAGTTCTCCTTTATTATTTGTTCAAATAACTTTTCCACTTGTTGCTCTTCCTCTTCTCCCTCTGGCACTCCTATAATTCAGATGTTGGAACATTTAAAGATGTCCTGGAGGTTCCTAAGCCTCTCCTCAATTTTTTTTGAATTCTTGTTTCTTCATTCTTTTCTGGTTGGATGTTCCTTTCCTCCT